ATAGGGAAAAATAAAAGTTAGAAAAAAATTAAAATAAAAGAACTAGTAAAGAAGACAAAAACATGGTGGCACCTTATATTTCTTTAATGTGAGCTTTTGTGGACAAGAATAATCAGAATAATCTTGCAACAGCTGAGCTGGAAAGGGACCCTGTGGGATCCTCCAGTCCAGCCCCTGCCAAGGAGGCCCAGTGGGGGAATCGAACTCCCAACCTCTGGATCCACTGAGCCATCCAGGCAAGCCCACTTCCTCAGACATAAGGGAAAATGATAAAGCACAGCCAATGTTTATACATGACATTGAAATAAGAGAGACCAAAATACAGAGATTGTGGTGGGTTGGTAGGAAAGTCACTGGGCGCTTAAGGCTGTGGTGACAACACCTTTGATGGGCAACTTTCTCATTAAAGCTTGTGCTGCAAGTGATGTGAGAACCTCTGTCATAAAATAATGATAGAATAACATGGATGTTAATTATACTGGCTTATTTATTTAATATAGGTAAGGGTAATTTATTTAAAATATTTTTGAGGTTTATTTATTTCAAATATTTTTACCCTGCCTTTCTCCTAAAGAAAGAAAGCAAGGCAATTTAAAATTTGGGCATCCAGGCTCAGAGATGAATCCAGGAGCACACCCCAGATGTTGGCAGAATATTGTGTTGATGCAGTTCCAGCCTCCCTCTTTTTTTTTCCAGCCACCTTCTGTTCCTCAGTTCATTGCCCACTGTACTACTCACTTTTAGATACTCACTTTTAGTTCCTTGATCTCAGGAACTTTTACTCAGTCTGCCTGGCAAGGGTTGTATTCTGGTCTCTTAGGTCTCTGTGATTTGAATCCCTACTTGTGCTTCTGTCATTAGAAGCTGGGGCACTGCGATTCAGACACTTTTCTACTCCCGATTTATTCAAAAAAGTAGCATGCCTTTTCAGTGCTTCACAGAGGTTTTGCTCTTTTGCAGCCCCTGACGTCCATTAGCATAAGAAAATTGTTCCCTGGGCAAACTGGCTTAGATACCTTTAGTTTGACAGGGTTAAATCGGTAGCCCACAAAGAGAGGCACTTTACTCTTGGTAATTGTCCCAAGGGAAACAAGAATGAGCAGAAGTTTTTTTTCATCACTACATTTCAGAGCCCGCCTTGTTCTTTATGGTGGGGATGACTTGAGACCCCCACCATAAAGAACAGATCCCTGTCCAGCTATACAGTATGTAGACAGTTGACTGAAAAACAAAAAACAAAAGAGCTACAGTATTTTCATATCCTTGAGAAAGGATGTTTAAAATTTCAGCTGGGAGTAGGGTTGCTTTGTTTCTAACTTGTTTCGCTCCTATAGTTATGGCATTTTTGCATGTCAGGCCAATGCGAAACAGGAAATTCGGGGTTGTGACCATTTGCTCCACTTAATTACAGTACTGTGTATGTAGCTGTGAAGTCAGAACTAGTAGCTAGCTAAATTTGGAAGGGTCTCAAGTCATTAGGCAGCTATATATACAAAGGAGATGTTCCAGAGGGTTGGTTTTTTTAATGCCTCATTGTCTCAGTAGGATTCTGAAGATGTTTCTCTCGTATCCCAACTAAACCTTCTGTCACATTCTGGGCTGTATTTGTCACAGCTACCAGCTTTCTCCTCAGCTTGGGCATTTAGAATGCCAGCTCAAAATGTCTAAATTACTGCTAAGTCAGTTTTCCAGATCTGTGGAGTACTATTTAGAAAGGGGGGCATCTGAAGTTAGGAAATGTTACTTATTTGTGCTCCACATGCAGCACCATACACATGTTGTGTTCCTACTTAATGCTGGTAGTTTTGAGAAACAAAACGATAGCTGAGGTCCGAGGTCTTTGGAAGAAAGCCTGATATCTGGAATGGTTTTGCTGTGTTTTCTTACAAGCCGATAAAAGTTGCCAGTTTTTCAATAGTTTCCAGAGGGTGGGAGAGAGACAGCGAAGTGAAGGTGAGAAGTTTGTCTATTACTCAGTCTGCTAAATTCCGTGCTTGGCAGGGAGGAAAGAGGTGAAGTGGGTTTCCTCCTAAAGGGTGATTTCCCTATTCTAGGATAAACTCAATTGCTCATCCCAGCTGGACCAGACTCTCCATAAGTCAAGACCTCTGTGTGAGTCCCACTGATACAGTGGGTGTACTCAGCTAGGAAATACAGTAGCCATGAGATTTAATCCCATGATTCTATAGTAGTGTAATTGGGACAGTAATTTATATCCTCAAACAGTACATCTTCCACTGAAATTACTGGTGTATGTGGCAGACAAGTCACCCTTTGATCCTGCTCTGTATAGGGAGAATATATGTGTATTCTGTATCATTTGTTGTACTGTATATAAACAGGTTTTACTGGATAGTGTTTTGAAGCGGAGTTAATTGTTAGCAAGCTTTCCCTGTTTGTAGTTAGCAAAAGCTCCTTATTAAAACCAGACATCCTGGTTAGAGATCAGGAGAAGACTGACACAAGAAAGGGGGCTTTCCCCCCCTCATTGTTGACCATTTCTTCTGGGAAGATGGAGAATTCATTGATGTCACCAAAAGACAAAGTCTTCCTGGTGATTGCTTCTAAGGGATGTTTTTTTTAAAAGTAACACATGGGACTCATTCTAACAGGTTACTTTTAAGTAACAATGGCTGAAATCCTGTTGCTTAGTATAGAAGAGTAAGCCCATCGAAGCAGTGGGAATTTGGTAACACAACACCTCCAGTAGTCCCATTGATCCAAATAGGTGTACTCTAGTTGTGACTTACTACACTAAAGGTAGTAGTCAGCACTTTGAATTTTTCTAAGACCTTCACTAGAAATCTGACAGTTCATTGACAGTGATGCTATATTAAGGACATGCATTTCCAGAAAGCACAGTGAGTTTCAATATAGATCATTTAAACCAGAGATGTAATGTAGAAGTGGGTTGTGTATTTTAGCCCTGCAATTCCTCTTGCATCTTGAAACTTTGTGGTAAGGATTTCCCTCAGACCAGCAGTTAATATTTTGCATTGAGGAAAAAATTAAACAAGTGCATGTTTAATAAAGACACATTTTGCACGAAAAAATTAAACAAATGCATGTTTAATAAAGACACATTTTGCACCAGTATTTTGGGCATTGTTGAATTTGTGCATATAAGAACTCCTGTGCTATGTGCCAAGGAGCAGTGGTTTGTGAGGATGTGGCTAGATGTCAAGGACACACACTCCATATGAAGGAAGATGATTCTAAGGCCTGAGTTCTGTTGTGTAACATTAAGGAAATTCAGAAGTTTTGGTCCATTCCTTTCAATTAAATACTGTACCGTAAAGAGCCTCACTGTATTTCAGAGGGCCTGTGCCCACACATGAACCCAGCAAGTGGCGCACCCCAAAGAACAGCAGCAGGAATTTTTCCTTTACATGTCACGAACGGACTGAAACGTACAAATTTGCTAATGAGCAGACTGACTTGCTAGTTAGTTTATGTATGTTAATGATATGAATGGGTTTTACAGTATGGAAAGAAAATTACAGTATCTGCAAGGGAAGCCTGTGACTGTACTCAGTACCAGCAAGTAGTTTTGAAGGTATCTGCTGTTTCAACTTGTTTGTGTAGGAATTTAGCTTTAAATATTGTCTTTGAATGGTATATATAAGCCGCCTTGGATCCTTTTTAAGGAGAAAGGTGGGGGTAAAATTATTTTGAATAATAGTTTGTCTGAAATTTGAGGTGGCGATTTGAAGAGAGGAACATTAATTTAGCATTGCTTGACAGTTATTTAAATTGTTAGGGCCAGCATGATCTTGCTGTGTTTAGTCAGTAGGGTTGCCAGCTAAACTGTTAAGCCATTCAATCAGTGGGAAGATAATGAAAAATTACTGATAGTTCCTTTAAAGCTCCTTGTTGTTCTGTGTACGGCCTGAAATTGGCCAACCTATTGATTAGGAGTTGAAGGTGTGCTCTTTCTTTGGATGTATATGAAAAAGTAAAGGAAATAATTTTAACCACTGTGCCATGAGGCTCATTCAGATGAAGATGTGGTAATAGAGTACTTACTTTAAATTGTCAGAAAGTAAATTAAAATGTAATGAAAAATGATGTAAATAAGCAGCAAAACCAGGGAGCCGGACAGGGGAGTTTAAATTGTCAGAAAGTAAATTGAAATGTAATGAAAAATGATGTAAATATGCAGATTAGAATAAGAATACTTCTTCATATCTCTTTACTGTTCCTCTCTCCCAGAAATGTTTATATCCATTTCCAAAATGTATTTACCAGAACTGGCCACTAGAGGGAGCTAGAGACCATGCTATGTGTAGTTTTCTATCCTCCTACATTTTTCAGCATCTGCAGGGGGTGGTGGTGGTGGTGGTGGTGAGCTTGGAACCAAACCCCTGTGGATACCCTACTGTAAATGCTAACATGGACTCCATGTCATGGGTTGTTCAGCTTTTCTTCTTTGCATTTGACACAAACTGAATGTGTCCTATTTGACAACAGAACTGCACAGTAGTGTGTTTTCATATTTAATTTCGGTGGACTTTTTCTTTGTTTCCCTAGGCTCTGATTCCTGTGGCAAATGTGGCCATGATTGATTACACCCTGGAGTTCTTAACTGCAACTGGTGTGGAGGAAACCTTTGTCTTTTGTTGCTGGAAGTCTTCAGAAATCAAGGAACATTTACTGTAAGGGACAGGCGAGCTTTCTGGTTGATCTAAGAAACTGACGTCTTCTTTGTTTCTCTCTGTTTGTGCCTTGCGCAACAACAGCATTCTTACTGATGAAGGATGTATTGTTTCTGTATGCTAAAGATCTCCCCACATCCCCAGTGCCATATTTGAGCTGGCACAAGACTTTGAGGTTGCCTGTGAGGTACCAGGGAACCTTAGTCCATATTCTGTGTTTGCTTCCTGCCTGTCTGTGGTTGTGTTGATACTATTAGGAGCCTTTAATGTATAGTGTAGTTTTCTTTCTTAAATTTGTGTTTCTTAAAAAGGCCAACAGGAAGGCGCTTTCTAGTGTGTCCACCCTCTACAGATGTTCCCAGATGTTCCTTTCTGTCTGTGTCCCATTGCCAGGAAATCTAAGTGGTGCCATCCCAATTCTCCAAATACAGTGCGGTTTGTGACCTCCGACCTCTACCGCTCGCTCGGCGACGTGCTCCGGGACGTTGACGCCAAGACACTTGTTCGTTCTGATTTCATCCTGGTCTCCGGAGATGTTGTGTCCAATATTAATGTTTCCACAGCCTTACAGGAACACAGGTGGGTGTTTTGGAGGAAGCTGCACGGACCTTGCTTGGTGATGACCGTTTCCAGCTGGTGGGATGCCTCATTTCATTTAAAGGTCCTCTTTGCCCTCCCTTCCCCTGCCCTTTCCCATACAGGTTACGGCGTAAGCTGGAGAAAAATGTGTCTGTGATGACAATGATCTTCAAAGAGTCCTCGCCGGGCCACCAAGCTAGGTGCCAAGAGGATGATGTTATCATTGCCATGGACGGTGCTACAAAACGGGTCCTACACTACCAGAGAACTCGAGGGCTGAAGCGCTTCCGGTTTCCCATGGTGTGTGAACAGGGGAGGAATGCAGCAGCCCGTCAGTTCCCTCCAGGTTTTAGTCTGATGAAGCTGTGATATTCCTTGTAGGATCTCCAGTTAGACAAGGATATGGGCTTTAAACCACAGAACCAGTGGTTCGTGGTGGTTTGGTTTTCAGCCAAACAGGTTTTGGTGGTTCCCAGGCCCACCTTCTCTGGCAATTGCCCACTCAGATACTGTACCCCAGCTCCCCTGCCCCGCCTCCTCCAGATGCTGCCTGTGAGTGGGCCCCTGCCAGAGGAGGCGGGCCTGGGAACCACCAAACACCTGTTCTGCTGAAAAACGAACTGGCATGAATTGGGAGATCGAGCCCGTCTCTGCTTCAAACAATGCATGTCTTTAGGGTCTTTTGTACTGGCTTTGAACATTTCACTCTCTTCGAGGCTTGGATTGTTCTCTGTACAATTGACATAATACTGTTCAGCAGGGTTAGGAAGTAGTTCAGTTAGAAATATTTACTTACTCATTTATTTTATTTATATGCTGCGTTTCTCCTGGACTGGGACTCAAGGTAGCACACACCACATTCCCCCCCCCCCAAAAAAAGTGTGATTTGAATAGCCATCCTTCACTCATAGAATAGCCTCTTTTAGTTCTCTACTAAATGTCATCTTAATACATTTGAACAGGTGTTTTGTTTTATAGAATGCGGAGGCTTATTTGGTTTCAACAGAAGGGTTGATAGGTGAGAGTAATAGATATTCCAGTTCCCTGTAGCCATTCGCAACCTTGGGTACCCAGGTGTTCTTGAATTGCAGTTCCCAGAAACCTTCACCACCAGTTCTGTTGGCTGCGATTTCTCTCTTGCACGGGCGAGTGCATGCCCGCATGGGTGCCGTGCCGCCATTTGCGCATGCGCACGACTGCTTGTGCACATGCGTGAATGGCACGGCCGTCATGCAAGCAAGCTGGAGCACACATGCAGGTGCAAACGGGCAGCACAGGGGTGAGTGCGCACGGGGCGGTGGCGGGGGAAGGTCTCTCTCAGTGGCCCGGTCTGGCCCAGGCCAGGGACCTGGACCAGACTGGGGGTTGGGGATCGCTGCTATAAATGATACGCAGGTTACGTGTCTTATCTTCTGTTAACACTTCCCGTTATGTTTGAAATTCGTTTCTGGAACCATTGGAATATCGATTCTTTAAAATCTTGTTTCACAGGTAGGAAATGGAGGTGGTCTCTCCCAAGCCCATATCTCAGTACAGTGGGACTGCCGTATCCATGGGTTTAGTACCTATGGTTTCACTTGTCCCTGCCTGAAAAAATAAAATAAAATAGACCCCAGAAATACATGTTCCCAAGGTGTATTATCAGGATTGGCCACTGGATTGAACCAGAGACTGTTGACTTGATAGGAATGCAAACTTGTGGCATGATGTATCATGAGGAAGCAGCTTCAGGTGAAATGGAGAAGCAAAAGGGGGAGGCAGCAGAAGCCTCCTTGCGAACAGGAGGGCAGGACACCCAATCCTAGGGCAGGACAGTGCCAGGGCTCCCTCTCTCAACTATGCATGGACAGCAAAGAAACTGGACGTTAGTGCTTTGCTTATCTGCTGTTTCTGGCATCTGCAGGGTGGGCTTGGAAGTCCTGCCCCGCAGATACTGCGGTCCTGCCGTCCTCTTACTAGTTGAAGTAGCAGAATACTTCAGCGTTTTCAAGACTTCTTGCAATGTAACATTCTCCGATGACTTGTCATAGACAAAATGAAGTTACCATCACTTATAGAACTGTTAAACATCAAGTAGCTTGTTGAGATTTACTGAAAGGATTGTTCTAGTTAATTCCCTTTAAGTTACCTATATATAGTGCAGTCTCTGGTTCCATCTGGTGACCATTCCTGGTAATACGCTGTGGGAACATGTATTTCTGGGTTTAATTTTTTTTTTAATGGTAGACCGAATCCCCTTGTTTCCCTTCCTTTGTGGTGTTTGTGCCTACATTAAATGCTGCTGCAGATGTTGCAGGGGGATTGAGTCAGTCTCGGGCAAGTGTCATGTGACTAGAGATGGGCACAAACTGCCTCTGAGTGGGCACTCGTCAGGAGGTGGGGCTTTGAAGCACCAGCCAGCTGTTAAGCCACTAAATAAACCAGCGGTTTTGGGGCTTTGAAGCACCAGCCCCTCTGTTAAGCCACTAAATAAACCAGCGGTTTATGCCCTTCTCTGTGTGTGAACACCTCAGTCTCTCTTCTTTGCGATGAAGGCTTCAAGCTGGCGTGGAGAGGGGTGGGTCTGGAAAAATCAGTCCAGGAGCTGACAGGGCTTCCGCTGTGCTCTTCCTTTTCTAGAGCTTGTTCCAGAGTAATATTGAAGAAGTGCAAATACGGCATGATCTGCTGGACTGCCACATCAGCATCTGCTCCCCTCAGGTAGGTTCTACAAAGCCAGCAGCCCCTGTCAGAAGCAGACCTTGTGTTCTTGTCCAGGAGAGGGGTGTGTGTCTGTGCTTGAGTTGTCTTTAATCTAAGTGATGTTACAGTGAAAAGTGGTGCCTTGATTTCCCTAGCCTTCCTCAGAGGCCAGACTCAACTACTAGCAAAGAAGCTAGGGCAAAAGAACGTCTGGCTTCTCCTCAGCTCAGTGGAATGGGTGAAATCATTACACTGAAATCACCTGTCAAGGACCTGCTGATGGGGTGAGGTTGCATTTGTTTTAGATTCCCAGGAGAGGGTCATCCCTGGATGTTCACTTATTTCAAAAAATCTTCGGGTGAGATTCTGATCTGTCTGCTGTTAGCTCAGAGAGTTAAGCCAGAGGCCCCCTTTGGAAGATGATTTGGTGCCTCGAGTTTTTCATCTCACTTGGTTGCCCTCCTGTTGCTTCTCCTTCCCTCCCAGGTGGCTGAACTCTTCACAGATAACTTTGATTATCAAACTCGGGATGATTTTGTGCGAGGCCTTCTGGTGAATGAAGAGGTAAGTCTGGAGAGGGGGGGTCCCCTGGGAGGAGGGACTGCTAGTGCAGCCGACACCATCGTCGATAATATTAATTGTTCCCGAAACAGCATGTGTCCTTTTAAAACAGAGTTCCAGCATGCAGTACACCAAATTTGGCATTATGCAGTGCACGTGGCGCATTTGTGGCTTTCTGTGTATGAAAATACTTTGTGTAGGCTTTCTGTATTCTTACTAAATGATACACTTGTGCAGTCTTGCATTGAGTGTGGCATGTGATCCAGTTCTTGATTGATAAACTCACCCGTGGTAGCTTTATGCAAAAAAGCAGGAGCGGGATGTATACACATTTCTTTGTACGGAAGGACAGAAACGCTAAGGAGAGACTTGAAATCCTTGAAAATCCAAATTGGATCTCAGTTTACCAGCAGAACCAGATGTTCGCTCAACGGGATTTCTCAGCTGTATCCTTTTGTTCTCCAGGTTCTGGGCAATCAGATCCACATGCATGTGACCTCAGAGGAATACGGCGTCCCGATATCAAACTTGTTGATGTATGAATCTGTGTCCTCTGACATCCTGCAACGCTGGGTCTATCCCATTACTCCGGAGAGGAACATCACTGATGAGAAGAGGCAAAACTGCACTCATTCCCGGCACAACATCTACCGGGGGGCGGAGGTGAGCCTGGGTCATGACAGCGCCCTCGAAGAGAACGTTCTCATCGGACAGGGGACGTCGGTTGGCAGAAAATGCCATATCACCAACAGCGTCATTGGCCCCAACTGCAAGATAGGTAAGAAGACGAAACCAGCTTGACAGGGGACGCCTTCCCTGTTTTTGGTGGCTTGAAATAACAGGAAGTATGATCGCGTGAGGATTGGGGAAGCTGCAAATAGCCACCTGGGGAGAGATGAAGAGCAGAATGATCCCTAGCTTGCGCAGCCAATGACTGGCTAGCGTGAGTAAAATGGGATAGAAACCAGAGAATGGGAGGATGCATTGGGTGATCTGCGTTGGAGGCTTGCACCAGATACAACGTTGACTGAATTGGCAGTATTGGTTGGTTTACACTTGGTTTCCGGTCGCAAAGTCAGAAGGTGGGCTCCTGAATGTTTCAAAGCAACAGGGGCCTCAGGAGGGGTTCCTAATCTTCTCTCTCTGTGGAGCTCCTCACGGCGTCTCTCATAGTGTTACTCTTTCTCTTGTGGGCTTCTGTGTCTGGAATGAGCCCATGTGGAAGGAGAAGGCTGGTAGAAGGGGCTATGTTGAAATTAGTGCCTCCCTTTCCCCGTGCATCTTTTTCTCTAGAAACAGGCACTCCATTGTCACTATGGGCCTATCCTTCCTCAATTAATGTTTAAACCAGGAGCTGCCCCCATCGGGTTTTCCTCCATTGTGTAATTTCAGCTTCAGATCGAGGTTAGGAAAATTCCACCGATTCCATGGATATTGTCCCATCTTGGCACCGATTCCACGGATATTGTCTCATCTTGGAAGCTAAAGCTTGATTTCAGTTCAAGTATGATGTTTGTCTTTTTTGAGTCTACTCTGCCTGAAGGGCCTGACCCTCTACAAACCTCTTGTGTTTGTTATGCTGCACTTCACAATAGATGCAAACCCTGGAAAAGAACAAGTGGTTTAGGACCTTCAGGAGTTTATTGCTTTGGCACATAAGTCCTTGTGTGGGGATTGACTTCCCCAAATTTTCCCCAACATTGAAAGTTCCGCACAAGTTAATACCTCAAGACAAAAACAGACGCAGAATATTTCCGAGAAGACTTGAGTGCATCTCATAATATCCCACTTAGGGCTCAGCATGTTTTCTAAGAGAATGGAGCGCTAACTCCAACCAGCGCAATTCCAGGGGTCTGGTCTATCTCCTCATTAAGCAGGTAGACAGAGTCTCTGTCATGCACCAAAGTACCACACTGTAACAAATCTGTGCTAAACAGTGCAGCGCTATGCCAGGTATTACTATATTTTTAGATGAAATGCTTCAGCGAATTCACAGCCATAAGTGTGGTGGAGCCATGTATAGTTTGATGGCAAAATAGTACAGCCTAGCTGCTCATTGCCCTGGGTTGGAGAGAAAAAGAGTCTTACATCTCTCAGATGACCCAATTCATCTGTTAGGCAGGATAATAAGACCTGCTGTTGCATGGAAGAGTGTCCTGTGTTTCTTTTTTCCACTGTTAATTGGAAACTGCCTTGAGACTCACTTTGCAAGGATATGAATATTCCAAAGATGTAGGAGTCCCCCATTCAAATTTTAATAAGGCTTAATAATAATCTTGAAACTGCAGAGCTGTAAGGGGACCCTCTGGATCATTGAGTCCAGCCCCTGTCAAGGAGGCACAGTAGGGAATCGAACTCCCAACCTCTGGCACCGTAGGCAGGTGCCTAGCCACTGAGCTATCCAGCAGTTCAGTTTAACCATGGTCCAGCTTAAATCTCAAAATCAGCAAAGTGGTTGTATTGCTGGTCAGAGTGTAGGCAGTGTGGAGCTTCCCGTCTACAATAGCTGGGCAAGAGAAGGACAACAAATAAAAGTGATAAGAAATAGGATGGTCAGGTTAATGAACAAGAAAATAATCTGTGAGCTAGGATGGTTCAAGGGATGACACCTGCCATTGTGTCCCCACAGCTGGATGATTCAGGACATCGTCTGTGCCATTGTTCCTCTATGTTTTTGCACTACTTGTATTTTAGCAAGAACAGAATACAGTGGACCTTCGACTTACGGAATTAATCCGTATTGGAATGGTGGCTGCAGGTCGAAAAGTCTGTAGGTCGAGTCTCCATTGACCTACAATGCATTGAAAACCGATTAATACGTAACCGGCCATTTTTGTTCCATTTTTGTTTTTTTCTGGTCTGTAGGTCGATTCTCTGGCTGCAAGTCAAACCTAAATTTTGCGGCCAGGGAAGTCTGTAACTCGATAAGTCTGTAAGTCGAGGGTCCACTGTAGAATCTGTGGCAGTAGAATAATTTTGACAGCCAAAATTCTGGACTTTGACACTGAACACCTAACAGGGATGGTTCCATTCAGCTTCTGCTACATTTGACTGTGTGTGCATGTATGTAGCGTAAGATGGCCATTCAGTTTCATGTATTTTGGGCGGTGTTTGGCAGGTGACGAGGTAATTCTGGATCAGGCGTTTCTGTGGAACGGTGTCTGCATAGGAGATCGTGTGAAAATCCAGCGGTCGATAATTTGTGATGAGGCAGAGGTAAAGAAAGGGGTAACGTTGAGTCCTCGCTGCGTCCTCACTTCCCAGGTGAGTTTAAGGAGCTGCGGATGTTCAGCTCCTTTTTTTTTCTTGTTGTTGTTACGGTTCTGTGGGCAGAATGTTGGGCCTGTTTGTTAGCTCGTTAGTTTGTTTAATCAATGCAGGGTGCCTCGCTTGACGACAATAATGCGTTCCATTAAAATCGCTGTTAAGTGAAATCGTCATCAAGCGAAATTAAAAACCCATTGAAATGCATTGAAAACCGTTCAAGTGCGTTCCAATGGGCGAATACCTCATCGTGCAGCGAAGATCCTCCACCTTCTCGTGCCTGTATAGTGAGGAATCCGTCCTTAACACAGCGGGGAGCCATTTTGAAACCCGACGATCAGCTGGTTTTAGATCGTCGTAATGCGAAGAATCGGTTCCCAAAGCAGGGAACCAATCGCTGTGAAGCGAATTTTCCCCATAGGAACATCATTTTGTGATCGCAAAAAGCCATCGTAAAGCGGATTCTTCGTTTAATGAGGTAATCGTTAAGCGAGGCACCATTGTATACTGCCCATCTAACTAGAGGCCACTTTCCTCCAAGATGCCCCTCTTCAAATCGAACTGTCCCCTTGTGAAGTCCTTCAGCTCGTCACTTGACCCCCCCTTGGTTGTCTGGGGGGGGGGTGATAACTCCCTACCTTGTGGCATCAAGATTGCAAAATCGGTTTGAATATTAGGAATAACATGTACATGAATTAGAACGGTCACCTCTGTGGGACAGCAAGATGACAGTGACCAGAATGGAAGTTGTTGGTAACTTCCCTTTAACTCTTTGGATGGATTTGGGTTAACTCGGATCGTCTAGCCACCTGGGCTCATTGGGTATTTAGGGTATGAATTCTTGGTTTCTCAGATTTGTGGGTGTTCTTATCTTCCAGAGGAGCCAAAGGACCAAGTGTTTCAGGTCTTAAATGGTGATATTACCTGGTTTCTAGGTGGTGGTGGGCCCTGATATC